CAGGGGGAATTCCAGGAAGTATTACTTATTCATTTCATATCAGGACCCAGAATGTTTATTAAGTAGAAAATAGAGCATATTACACCTAAAATCATTTGGTACAAATGTTAAAAAAACAGTTCTATTAAAAACACTAAATTATTAGGTTCTTGTGGGTTTTTTCGGGCTATAGAGCCATGTTCTAGAGGCATTTCTCCTGACGTTTCGCCTGCATCTATGGCAAGCATCCTCAGAGGTGTGAGGTCTGTTGGAAGTAGGAAAAATGGGTTTATATATCTGTGGAATGGCTGGGGTGGGGCAAGGAGCTCTTTCCTGCTGCAGTTAGGTGTGAATGTTTAGCTGATCACCTTCATTAGCATTTGAAGGCCTGCCTGAGTCTGGGAAAGATCCAGATCCAGAAGATCCACCCAGAGGAAAAGTGTTCCTGCCATACATCAAGGGAACCACTGATCGCATAGGGAAGCTGATGAGGAAACACAACATACAAACAATCTAAAAACCCACCAAGAAAATCCAACATATGCTACGTTCAGCAAAGGACAAGAGGGATCCTCTCACCTGCAGGAGTCTACCGTATACCATGCAGCTGTGGACAAGTCTACATAGGGACCACCAAACGCAGCACCCAAACACGAATCAAGGAACATGAAAGGCACTGCAGACTACTTCAACCAGAGAAGGCAGCCATAGCAGAGCACCTGATGAACCAACCTGGACACAGCATATTATTTGAGAACACAGAAATGCTGGACCACACCCACAACCACCATGTCAGACTACACAGAGAAGCCATTGAAATCCACAAGCATGTGGACAATTTCAACAGAAAGGAAGAGACCATGAAAATGAACAAAATCTGGCTACCAGTATTAAAAAACTCTAAAATTATAACAGCAAACAACAGAGAGGAAAAAACCAGGCACAGATTAACACCTCCCAGCAACAGATTTTCCCAGACTCAGGCAGGCCTTCAAATGCTAATGAAGGTGATCAGCTGAAACATTCACACCTAACTGCAGCAGGGAAGATCTCCTTGCCCCACCCAGCCATTCCACAGATATATAAACCCATTGTCCTAATTCCAACAGACCTCACTACCTCTGAGGATGCTTGCCATAGATGCAGGCGAAACGTCAGGAGAAATGCCTCTAGAACATGGCTCTATAGCCCGAAAAAACCACAAGAACCTAGTGATTCCAGCCATGAAAGCCTTCGACAATACATTGAACACTAAATTATCATTATTTATTATGATGATATTTATTTATATCCCACTTTATCTCCCCAAGGGGGACTCAAAGCGGCTTGACATAAAAGTATTGGTATCCCATTTAAAATATACAAAAAATCAGGCCAATTAAACAGACACTAACACATAGTAAAAAGATAAAATCCTAATCCAAACCCATTAAAGATGATATTTTCAATACCTTCTTAAAAGCGACAGGTCTTCCTGAAGAAAACTGTCCCTGTGGTTCGAGTGTTGGACTGTGATGCTTTTACATTTCTAAGATTACATTCCTATTTTTTACAGCTGTGGCTGCACATGATTTGAATAAAAACGAATATGGTGTAGTGGGAGACCAGGATTCAAATGTCCACTCAGTAATGGGTGGCCTTGGCCAAGTGACGCCTGCTCAACCTCAAGGCAAGTCTTTCCAAGAAATCCCTGTGATAGGTTCAACTTGGATCAGAAATAATTTGAAGGCACACAATAAAAAGCACAGCCTGGGTGCATCTACCCTGTAAAACTAATGAAGTTTGATACCACTTTAGCTGGCATTGCTCAATGCTATGGATTCTTGGGAAACGTAGTTTTACAAGCTCTTTATCCTTCTCTGCCAAAATGTGTCGGCGCCTCACCAGACTACATTTGTCATGATTCCACAGCCTTCATCCACTGCAGTGAAAGTGGTGTCAAACAGCATTAACTCTATAGTGCAGATGCACTTCAAGTCCCCTAATGGTGAGAGCTGAAGTCCAAAACACTTGAAGGGCCAAAGTTTGCCCATGCCTGCTGTAGAATGAATGCCATTTGACACCACTTTAACTGACAGACATGTCGTTTGGGGAAGCACCAGCACACTTTAGCAGAGAAGGCCAAGATTTTTTCAAAACTATTCCATAGCACTGAGCTGTGGTAAAGTGGCATCGAACTGTATTAATATTACAGTGTTGATTCACCCAAAGAGAGACCCCGCCAAATGCCAGGCCTTTTCTGAGCACTCTGTCTCTCTCACCAAACTAAGAGTCTCATGAATCCATAGCCTTGAGACATAGTAATTCAAGTGGTGCCGAACTGCCTTAATTCTACAGCGTATAATATAATTGTATATTATATATTACATTTAATATCACTAATAATATTGCAGTATAGTAGTATAGCACAATATAGTAATGCATAATACTAATATCACGCTATGCTAATAATATAATATATTGTATGTGCATATAATATTGATATTATTATAATGTAACACAATATAATACTAATGGGAATACAACATATTATAATATTGTAAAATAGCAATACAAATATATTAAATATAATTACTACTAGTGATATACTATTTTATTATTGTATATTTTAAGTTGTAATGTTTTTGACTGTGAGCTCCTTTGTGCCTCCGTATGGAGAGATAAAGTGGGATATAAATAAATAAATAAATAAATAAATAAAAGCTCTCTTGATAGTGTCTCGTGGGTCCAAGTTGACCCGATGGCAGCTTGGAATGGAGACATTTTTGGAGAAGTAGTAGCGTGGCAGTTTAAGTGGTGTCAAACTGCATTAAATTCGAGTGTAGATGCCCCCACTGAGAGGAGGAGGAGGGCTGTGTCTTATAGTATCTCTTAGTAATGTTCAAGAAGCACTGTTTGAATATCAAGCAAAAAGTTTGTGCTAGAAACAACATCATATGACAGCTGACTGGCACAACCTGGGGATCACAAGCAGAGACAGAGAAGCCATTTGCCCTTATGCTTTGCTACTCTGCTGCTGAATACCCATGCCCAGTATGGAACACTTCTCACCACGTTAAAACAGTGGATGTGGCTCTTAATGAGACATGCCACATTATCACCGGATGTCTACACCCAACACCACTAGAGAAATTACACTGTTTAGCTGGTATCGCACCACCTGACATCCGCCAGGAACTAGCAGCCAATAATGAAAGAACCAAGGCAGTGACATATCCGGCCGACCCTCTGTTCAGATATCAGCCAGCATGCCAATGGCTTTCAGTGGTTCTCAACCTGTGGGTCCCCAGAGATGTTTTGGTCTTCAACTCCCAGAAATCCTAACAGCTGGTAAACTGGCTGGGATTTCTGGGAGTTGTAGTCCAAAATACCTGGGGACCCACAGGTTGAGAACCAGTGGCTTAAATCAAGAAACAGCTTCCTAAGATCTACAGAGATATTCTCAGGAACACCACAGCAAGCAAGAGTCCAAAAGTGGCAGGCTAAAACCCAGAACCTCAATCCACAGCTGATACAGGATGAGAGACTCCCCCCTGGGCACATAGAAGACTGGGCGACCTGGAAGGAGGTGAACAGACTGCGCTCTGGCACGAGATGCAAAGCCAACTTTAAGAAATGTGGCCACAAAGTAGAGTCCATGACATGCGAGTGTGGAGAAGAGGACACCACAGACCACCTACTACAATGTAGTCTGAGCCCTGCCACATCACAATGGAGGGCCTTCTTACAGCAACACCAGAGGCACTCCAAGTGGCCAGCTTCTAGTCAAAGGACATGAAGTATAATATCAAGTTTTTAAACTTTGTTCCCTATTTCCCCGAAAATAAGACCTCCCTAACATGATTTTTCCAGGCTTTTGGAGGTTGCTCAAAATATATGCCCTACTTCAAAAATAAGCCCTAGTTACAGTTCACTATTTAAAAAGTCAATTTAAATAGCGTCCAGACAGCTATGCATCAGCCCTAACACATGTTTTGGCGCAAAATAGGGATATAAGACCCTGTCTTATTTTCAGGGAAAGAAGGTTTGTGTTTTTAAATACATTACAACTGTACCCTTGGTTCGCTTCTGATAGGATAATAAAAATAAGTCTTTAAGGATCTTTTCTCCTTACAGGTGCTGCTGACTATTTGTTTGGCTCCCTCCCTTCCCTCATTCCTTTTAAATCTCAACTTAAAGCTCCCTAGGCCTCTATCCCAGGGCAAAGAATTGGGAATATGGGATGAATATGGGATGGAGGGAAGGAAGTGCCTTTCCTTTACCGTGGGATGGAGTGAAAGGATGTGGAAGGCACTTTCAAAGAGGTAAGATTGTAAAGGGACTCGTACAGGATGTCCCTGGTGGTGCAGTGGGTTAAACAAGGAGACCCTAAGAATATGTGTTTTCAACAAGGAGACCCTAAGGATATGTGTTTTTATTGATTTTGCTATGGTTTTATATTCTCTGATTGTTTTTATGGTTTTGTAATTGTATTTTATGGTCTTGGTGCCAATTGTACACTGCCCCGAATCGCCTGCGGACTGAGACAGAAGGTATATAATAACAATAAAGTAATAAATAAATAAATAACCCGCTGAGCTGCTGAACTTGCTGACCGAAAGGTCGCAGGTTCAAATCCAGGGAGTGGTGTGAGCGCCCACTGTTAGGCCCAGCTTCTGCCAACCTAGCAGTTCGAAAACATGCAAATGTGAGTAGATCAATAGGTCCAGCGGGAAGTTTAAGGCGCTCATGCGGTCATGCCGGCCACATGACCTTGGAGGTGTCTATGGATTAGAAATAGAGATGAGCACCAACCTCCAGAGTTGGGCACGACTGGACTTAATGTCAGGGGAAAACCTTTACATTCACCTACAGGATGTCCTTTGTCCAGGCATGGGCCAAATTCGGCCTTCCCTCCAAGTGTTTTGGACTCCAACTCCCACAATTCCTAACAGTTGGAGGGAGGCCCCAAGCTGGCCCATGCCTGCCTTTATTATCCCCAGCCTCCTCGTCGTGGTTGTGCTTCCTCGTCCGGGGCTTACCCTTCTTGTCCATGAGGCCCATGAAGAAGAAGCAGGGCACGAAGCCGATGGGCCCCCAGAAGACGAGGAGGGCGATGTCGAGGCTGGAGAAGTGGAAGGCCTTCCGGGCGGAGTTCTGGATGGGGCCCCAGGTGTTCCAGACCAGGCCCTGGGCCAGGCCCAGCAGCGAGAAGAGCAGCAGCACCAGCCAGCGCCGCCCGTAGACCCGGCTGGGAGGCCCCGGCAGAGGCAGCAGCGGGCGGCGCGCGGGGAGCGGGCCCGCATGGCGCGCGGGGGACAAGGCCGGCGGGGGCGCGGGCGGCGGGGGCTGCAAGAGGGGCTCGCGCTCCTCCGGGCGGCTCCACTCCGAGCCCATCGCCCTCCAGGCGCCGGCCGGCCGGCTTCCAGGCAAACAAGGCAGCCCCGCGCATGCGCCGCCCGCGCCTCCCACGCCCTTCAAGGGGCCGGGATTGGCTCCGCCTGGCCTGAGAGAAACCCAAAGGTTGAGCCAAGCCAGAGGAAGGGCTCGGAGGGAGGGAAGGAGGAGAAGTGGGAGGCCTACGCCTTGGAGGTAGCGCTGTAAAAAAAAGAGAGAGAGAGAGAGAAAGAAACACGGTTTGACACCACTGCTCCAGGCTAAGAAGCCTATCTCTGGGAGTTGTAGTTTTAACAGAGCCTTTGTACCCCTCTCAGCCAGAGTGCTGGTGCCTCCTCAAAATAAAAACTCCCAACATTCAGCTACACACGATTTTTAAAATGCCAGAGGTCCAGATCCAGGGAGCTGTAGTTGCACAACCTGTACTGGGGCTGGTGGCGAGGACAGGAGGAGAGAGGAGTGGAGTTCCAGAGAGTTTCATTTTATAGTTCTTACACTACCCTGCCTTCAGAGGGAGGAGAGAAGAGTGGAGCTCCAGAGACCATCATTTTATAGTTCTTACACTACCCTGTCTTTGGCAGGAGGAGAGAAGAGTGGAGCTCCTGAAACCTTCATTTTATAGTTCTTACACTGTCCCACCTTTGGAGAAAGGAAGGAGAGAAGAGTACAGCTTCAGGGGCCTTCATTTCATAGTTCTTACACTGTCATGCCTTCGGAGAAAGAAGGAAGGAGAGAGGAGAGTGGAGCTCCAGAGACCTTCATTTTATAGTTCTTACATTGCCCTGCCTTTGGAGAAAGAAGGGAGGAGGGAGGAGAGAAGAGTGGAGGTCCAGAGACGTTCATTTTATAGTACTTGCACTGCCCTGCCTTCAGAGAAAAAAGGGAGAAGAGTGGAGTTCCAGAGACCTTAATTTTATCTTTTTTACAATGTCCTGCCCTAGGATAAAGAAGGAGGGAGGGAGGGAGGAGAGAAGGAAGGAGGGAGGAGAGAAGAGTGGAGCTCCTGAGACCTTCATTTTATGGTTCTTGCACTGCCCTGCCTTCGGAGAAAAAAAGGGGAAGAATGGAGTTCCAGAGACCTTCATTTTATAGTTTTTACACTGCCCTGCCTTTGGAAAAAGAAGGAAGGAGGTAGGAATCATAGAATCAAAGAGTTGGAAGAGACCTCATGGGCCATCCAGTCCAACCCCCCGCCAAGAAGCAGGAATATTGCATTCAAATCACCACTGACAGATGGCCATCCAGCCTCTGTTTAAAAGCTTCCAAAGAAGGAGCCTCCACCACAAAGAAGAGTGGAGCTCCAGAGACCTTCATTTTATAGTTTTTAAGCTGTCCCATCTTCGGAGAAAGAAGGAAGAAGAGTGGAGCGTCTAACTCCATCATTCTACAGTGTAGATACACCCTTACTCACAAAGCCACTCATTGGAGCACCACTATTGGCAATGCAATTCTTTCAAGCAGGGCCCGCAAAAGGTGCGTCTACACTGCAGAATTAACACAGTTTTGATTCCACTTTAACTCAATGCTATGGAACCCAGGGAGTTATAGTTTGGTAATGTCTTCAGCCTCAGGAAATGGCATATCCTAGGATTCCACTGCACTGAGCAGTTAAAGCAGTGTCAATTCATTCCAGGCACACTCTGGAAGCGGCCAAGGGAAAGGGAGGGCTTTGGAGAAGCCGCGTCCTGCCTTCACCCTCCGCTTCCTGGGAAGAGAAGAATGACAACAATGCCACGTGAGCCTCCTCGCGTGACGCAGGGGGAAGGGGCGGGGCGGAGGGCGGTCACGAGGAGGAGAAGGAGGCGGCGCCTGAAGGAGTGCTTTCTCTTTCCTAATGGGAAGAAGGCTGGGCGGGAAAGCAGAGGAGTCATGGCTGCGGGAGATGCTTCCCTGCCTCCTCCAGACCCTGGTAGGTCTCCCCTTCTGGGCTGCATCAACACTGTAGAATGAGTGCTTTGGGACACTACTTTAACTGCCTTGCCTCAATGTCATGGAATCACGGGAGTTGTCGTTTAACAGGGCCTTCTCTGCCAAAGTGGGCTTGGGCCTCACCAAACTACAACTCCCATGATCCCACAGTATTGAGCAATGGCAGTTGCAATATCCCTTTGCATATTCCTATCATTTGCATGTGATCAGGTCCCTGTGAAATACTCTCCAGTTGTCCCAATTTTGCTGGGATAGTCCAACTGATCTTCTGTTTACTACTCACCCTTTATTGCTGCTTTTATAAAGTCTTATGGGCTCTTCCACACAGCTCTATATCCCAGAATATCACAGCAGAAATCCCACAATATTTGGTTTGAACTGGGGCCCCTTCCACACAGCCTTATATCCCAGAACATCAAGGCAGGAAATCCCACATAATAATAATAATAACAATAATAATAATAATAAACTATTTATACCCCTCCACCATCTCCCCAACGGGGACTCGGGGCGGCTTACATGCGGCCAAGCCCAAACAACAAATTACAATAAAATAAGATACACGTTAAAATAAAATAAACAACATCGCAGTAAAATACAAAACATATAACTACAATAAATTTTTTTTTAAAAAAAGCTGAGTGTGGACTCAGTTAACCCAGTTCAAAGCAGATATTATGGGATTTTCTGTCTTGATATTCTGGGATATAGGACTGTGCGGAAGGGCCCTGAATGATCTGAGTCCACACTGCCACATATTCCAGATAATGGTGGTGCAGTGGATTAAACCCCTGTGCTGGCAGGACTGAAGAATACAGGTCGCAGGTTCCAATCCGGGGAGAGGCGGATGAGCTCTCTCTATCAGCTCCAGCTCCTCATGCAGGGACATGAGAGAAGCCTCCCACAAGGATGATAAACACATCAATTCATCCGGGCGTCCCCTGGGCAACGTCCTTGCAGACGGCCAATTCTCTCAAACCAGAAGCGACTTGCAGTCGCTCCTGACACGACAAAAAAAAATGTCTATGGGCCCTGCCTTGATATTCAGGCATAGAGGGCTGTGTAGAAGGGCTCCCTGTCTCTTTCCTTCTATTTCCACCTTGTCCTCAGTTTATTTAAGTTGCTATACATTGAGTTCCAACTGCAAAAGTACTTTGCACTCCCATAAACTGAAATTCTTTACAAACTGCCCTTCTAAGGTCCCTCCCACAACTGAATTAAATCCCACATTTTCTGCTTTGAACTGGGATATATGGCAGGGTGGAGTCAGATAACCCAGTTCAAAACAGATATTGTGGGTTATTCTGCCTTGATATTCTGGGGCCTCTTCCACACAGCTGAATAAAATCCCACATTTTCTGCTTTGACTGAAATATTTGGCAGTTTGGACTCAGATAACTCAGGGCCCTTCCACACAGCCATATAACCCAGAATATCAAGGCAGAAATCCCACAATATCTGGTTTAACTTCCAGACAGTCTTATATCCCAGAGCATCAAGGCAGGAAATCCCACATTATCTGAGTGTGGACTCAGATAACCCAGTTCAAAGCAGATATTTTGGGGGGTTTCTGCCTTGATATTCTGGGATATAGGGCTGTGTGGAAGGGCCCTGGATTATCTGAGTCCATATATTCCAGTTCAAAGAAAAGAATGTGGGATTTTCTGCCTTGATATTCAGGATTATATGGCTGTGTGGAAGGACCCTTAAAAATCTGGGATTGGAGATGTGTTATTTGAATATATGTTCAGGCTGCCTACACCTTGTTTTTGAGTTATGGTGATCCTAAGGCATGGGGTTTTTTTGGCATGGGGTTTTCTTGGCAAGATTTGTTCAGAGGAAGCTTGCCTTTGCGCATCACTTACAGTTACCACTCTAAACATTAGGGGGTTAATTGTTTCAAGGGGAAAACCCTCCTGAAATAGCTTGGTATTTTCCCACAAAATGGAAAGGTTAATTAAAAAGTGTATCTTGGGGGTGTAAACATATTTTTGTATGAAGAAAAAGAATTGGGTGCCAGGCCTTTGGATGTGCTCTGTGTGGGTCCTATGATTTGCACACCAGGGGTCATTACTCAAAAGGAAAACAAAATCAGAAGCTCCTTATTTCATCTTGTCAGAAGCAGATTGAGAATATGCTGCAAGTTACCTCTGCTGTGAGAGAATTGGCCGTCTGCAAGGACGTGGCCAGGGGACGCCCAGATGTTTTACCATCCTGTGGGGGGCTTCTCTCATGTCCCTGCATGGAAAACTGGAGCTGACAGATGGGAGCTCATTGTGTCTCGCAGATTCGAGCCACTGACTTTCAAGTCTTCAGGTCAGCAGGCACATTACGCCATCCAGAAGCTCCTGGACTTAGAAATTTCAGTTCCTGGCATGGGCATTTGCTAAGTAGTATCAAAATATAGTAAAACATTAATGAAAATGCTTGAAACAATTAATTTTAGTTATTTAAAATACTGATTTTATTTCTCAAACAAGCATGTTGTATATATTCCCCATTGCATAGGTCTGCATTTTCTTGTGGCTCTTTTTTTTTCCTTTCACCTTTTTTTCCTTTTCCTTCTTTCCTTTTCAATATGCACCTTCCCTTTCTTCCTTTCCTTTCCTTTCCTTTCCTTTCCTTTCCTTTCCTTTCCTTTCCTTTCCTTGTGTTCCCTTTTTCCTTTCTTCCCATTATTTTCCCCTTCCCTTCTCTTCCCTTCTTTTTCTCACTTCCCTTCCCTCATAACTTTTCCCCTTTCCTTTTTCTTTCTTCACCTGGCCTTTTCTTGGAAGTCACATTCTTCCAGCTTCAGAGCAAGGTGCAGACACACGCACACACACACACACGTAACTCCGCAAAGGGTATGTATGCCAAGTTTGGTCCAGATTTAGCAAGCTGTTTAGGCACTTTAGTGGTACAAACAAACTAACACACATATATGCATGCCTATATTTTGAATTTTATATATAGGATAAAAAAACAATGACCATGTTGACTGAGTAACTCTAGGAGTTGACATCCAAAAAAGTAATTTTCCCAAATTTTGTGTGAGTAAAGAAGCTATGCTTGGAAGAAATTGCTGAATCTAATTGGTCCCCCAGTTAAATGCAATTTCAGTTTTTTTTTGGGGGGGGGGGTTGTTCATCATATATCACTGACACATTCCCTTTAACCCACTTAGGCTATTAGAATTATCTTGCAAAAATATATGACAGATCAAAATCCATCTGAGGCTTTGATCCAGAATTTCCAAGATGAGCCATTCAAATTACTACAGTTGTTTACAAATGGAAGGGCGAAAATATAATGATTTCCTGTTTCTATTTGCTGACAGCATCTTTATTCAGGGGAAGAGTAGCTGTGTTGGTGAATTAACTCATCAGCTGCTAACAGTTGAATGTATTAGTTGTTACTTAAATCCAGTCTCAAGAGATACAATTCTTCTTTATACTTTGTCACAATGTTCAGTGTGCTGGTACCTTCCTCATAGTCTGAATTATAATACGTCTCATGCCTGGCCATTAACCACAATAATATTTGCTTCAAAACATGGAGGCCATTGGCTATATGCTCCTGATCTAGTCTGCCTTGCAGCCCCTTTCTACAATGTCAGACAGGGTTTTCCTCAGCTCTGTTAAGAGTTGTCAGGGCTATTGACCTTCATATCTTTTGCACACATTGCACATACTGTAGTGCAGAAATTCATGAAGGTGGAAGTACCAGTTTGTCCTTTCAAATTAATTATGATCTCATGTTACATTATCTTAGTAAGGGCAAATGAAAGTCAGCTGCCCTCTAGCCCTACAGCACAGAGAGGCCTGCTAGTGATGGCTTTGATAATGCAGATTGAAGTGAAAAATGAGTTGAAGCTAATGCTGATGATTATCCTTGGAAGATTTGATCAGCATAGTACTTTCTGCACAGAACAAATGGATTTAGATATTTAGCAGTTGCTTATATTTTGCTCTGCTTCTGTTCGTTTGTTTCTCCCACGTGCACACATGCATTTGGAGGTAAGGCCCAGTGAGGTCAATGAGATTCACTCCTATTTTCATTTTATTTCTTACGCTTATATTCTAACTGTATTTTGTGGAACTCAAGGCAGCATATCTACGCATTTTTCCTTTAACACTCAAGGGTGCAGCAACACTGTTTGGCACCTCTTTAACCTAGCAGTTGTTTTTTTTTTTTTTTTGGTCATGTCAGGAGCAACCTGAGAAATTGCAAGTCGCTTCTGGTGTGAGAGAATTGGCCGTCTGCAAGGACGTTGCCTCAGGGGACGCCCGGATGATTTGATGTTTTTATCATCTTTGTGGGAGGCTTCTCTCATGTCCCCGCATGAGGAGCTGGAGCTGATAGAGGGAGCTCATCCACCTCTCCCTGGATTTGAACCTGCGACCTGTCAGTCTTCAGTCCTGCCGGCACAGGGGTTTAACCCACTGCGTCACCGGGGGCTCCTAACCTAGTAGTTGAAAATATGCAAATGTGAGTAGATCAGTAGGTACTGCTCCAACGGGAAGGTAACAGTGCTCCATGCCAGCCACATGACCTTAGAGGTGTCTATGGACAAAGCCGGCTCTTCAGCTTAGAAATGGAGATGTGCACCAACCCTCAGAGTCAGACACAACTGGACTTAATGTCAGGGAAAAACCTTACTACCTCTTTAATTACCATGGCTTAGTCCTATGTTGTTGTTTTATAAGGGCTTTAACCTTCTCTACCAAAGTGTGCTAGGCAGATAAAATGGTATCATACAGATGAAACGGCTTTTTCTGTTTGCAGAGTGGACTGAGAACTGGTGGAGGCTGGAAGAAGGCAGTAGCCCTAGAAATGCCCCCATTTTCCTCCTAACATTACCTCCCATTCTATTCTGCCTCTTCAAAGCAGCTAGTCACACAATATAAGGAAAATGCAGAATAATTAAACTTGTTTAAAATTACCTCTCACCGCTTTACTCTTGTGGGAAATTTTCAAGAGGAATTCACAAGAATTCTGAATCCAACTCAGAAAGTCAGCAGTTCTCCCTATATGCCTGTCCAAGAATGGAGGTGTGTCCTTTATGTCCCATTAATAGAGAAAACTTCCTGTTGTGGGAGCCTGGTTACATTTCCCCCCCTCTGGAGGTTCAATTGGCGCCAGCATTAAGAATCATTTTGGCATCATGTTAAAACCTGTCTTTTTATTAAAGTCTTCGAGCCAGCAATCCAGGCTGCACATATTTTATAAAATAATTAATTTTTAAACTGTTGGTTCTTAATCTTTTAAATCATTTAAACTTTTGTTATTTGTTTTAAGATGATATTAATAGTCAGGTCTTTGAATAAACGGTGGACATCAATATTTTAAATTTTTATAAGTTTGTGGTATAAGATGTATACTTCACTAAAAAGTTTCTACTTTCTTACAAAAAATAATAACAACTGGGTTGCTGTGAGATTTCCGGGCTGTATGGCCATGTTCCAGAAGCATTCTCTCCTGAGATTTCACCCACATCTATGGCAGGCATCCTCAGAAGTTGTGAGGTCTGCCTGCCATAGATGTGGGTGAAATGTCAGGAGATAATGCTTCTGGAACATGGCCATACAACCTAGAAAAGTCACAACAACCCAGTGATTCTGGCCAGGAAAGCCTTCGACAACACAATACCCACAACTGTTGTAATTTGGTGTTATTTTTCTTATACTTGTGTGGTTTGCTATGCCTTTCTCTTCTGATGGTTTAAACAGAGTGATCTTTAGGTTTATTGCATTGTATCACGAATAGCTTACTGTTTTATAAGTAGTTCTCATTACAAATAGATAATAACTTGTTGGCACCAAGCAGTATTTTTGTCTTTTAGTGCTAAAACACACCTACTAAAACACACGCCTCATTGAACAGAATGGAAACTACTTCTGAATAAACATGAATAAGGCTCAACTGTGAAATTACTGAACTTCTTAATTTGAGGATGGCTAGCATTTGATGTCTTTCCTCTGGCCTCAATATAACGTAATCTGTGTTGTTCTTTAATTTGGAGCTAGAGACATTTTAGGCTTTTTAGGATACTGTTCACATCCTTGCAGTGTTATCATTCTAAAGTGGTATTTAAATACCTTTTGTGTTCAATGCATAGATATCTAAATATGTCTTGTATTAATCTCCAGCAAATCTCTTTGCATTGTACAGTCAGCCTTCCAAGTTTACTGAGGTTTAGGGTGCAAGATCCCTGCAAAATTGGAAAATAATGAATTAAAAAAATGAATCTGAGAGAACAGCTCTAGGAATTTCTGGGTCTTCCAATGTCACTCTATGATTAATGTCTGCCCATAATTGGTCACAGAACCATGATGGAGGACCTACACATGCCTAGAGAAGCATTCTCCCTTGGTCCTCCAGTGTAATTGTATGGTCGGTTTCTAACAGTTGACTATAGAGGACCCAGAGATTCTTAAAGAAAGCTTATTAAGCAATCCGCGGAAGTTAATCTGCATATGTGGAGGGTCGACTGTAAAACTAGCTCTACTTTCCTCTTCCCGTGGGTCTGTCATGTCAAGTAAATAAGAAAGTAGGTAAATGAGAAATGTAAATATGAGCATGGATTGAGTCAATACATGTTCAGTCATTTATATCAAGTCACTTTTAAAATCTTTAATAAAATCTGGCTTTAATTCCCTTCAGACAGAATTAATATTTCAGGATAGATGTTAAATCTTACTCATGTCTATTTACTATAAATTAAAATCATAATTGAAATAACTAATTGTAATTACAATATTTAAATTACTTTGTCTTATAGCACCAAGGCATGCATGCAGATATATCTGAAGGGAAGTGACCTTTCCTCCTTAGTTAATTTAGCAAGCTGTAGGTAGCATTCTGTGTGAATTTGAAGGCTATGGAGCCATCTAAATTAGCTACTGTGCGGAATGGCATACTGTTGATAAAATGTTGGAAGCCAAATTAGCTTTATCTTGCAGCTAGCTGATAGCATGATTTCACTCAGGGGACTAATACATCTCTAAATATGCTAATTCCGCCCTTATTCTTGTTGGGTGGCATTTTAGCATTCCCCTCATTGATACTGTCATTTTAATGAAAGGGAGTCTCAGCTTGCTGTGTTGCCTTGCAGTCTAGTGACAGAGATGAGCATTGCAAGAGAACCGAAATAGAAACCTGAGATAAAGGAATGGTTTGACATCTACAAGCTCTGCAGATAGATCTTCAAAGGTTCACTCAAATATGGTTTTGAAGAATTGTAGCTAAAAGGTCCTTTTGTCATAGTAGACATGTGTTCTCAAAGCAATATAAGTGCCAGTGGGGGAGAATTTGGACTTTATATTGGAATACAA